GAGGAATCTTTTTAGAAATGGGAGTGGAACACAGAATAAGGCATGCGAAGGGAATTCACAAAGTCAAAATAAAATTCCAAAACTATTTGGACGTAAGTTCAAAATTTAGAAGAAATTTAAGCAAAATTCAAAGAATTTCACGATTATTTGTATAAATTTTCAGAAAATCAGGGAGATGATAGAGGAGGTAGAGATAAGTTCAGAAGACCATTTTGAAATAAAATAAAAAATTGCTTGAAGTATTTTCGAAATTGAAAGAATTTCGAAGGCAATTTGAAATAAAATTAGAAAACTAATTCCTAAATTAAGAATTTACGATGAAATGGCGTAAGGAATTAATGATTGCCATCGAAAATAAATTAAGATAAATTTTGAAATTATTTGGATGAAATTAAGAAAGTTTATCAACGTGTCGTAAAGAATTCCAAAAGAACTTCAAAAAGAATTGCACAATTTCGAAATTTTACGGGGGGCAGAAAGTAGAAGTAGAGTCGACGTAAAAAAAAAAAAAAAAACAGTAAATTCTGAAATTCATTGCTCGAATTTCTGAAATAAAATTGAATTTTAAACTAAATAACGAAAAGAATTTGGTGTAATAAAGGAATTCATGTAACGTTTGAATAAAAACGCCAGAATTAATTTCGTTCGCATTGTTGGAAGAAGAGAGAATGAGCATGAATCCTATCGAATTAGGTCGAAATTTCGGACGGCGTTGTCAAACAAGCACAAAAGAGAAGATACGCATCCCACACGTTAGAAATTTTGGATGATGCGACCGATTAGGTGGGATGGTGGAGGAGAGAAGGGGGGGTGGAGAAGAAAAAGGTAAGATCTTTGAGGGAGATGGGGGAAGGAAGGGGGGAGAATTAGTAAAGGGAGAAAGATGGACAATACCGCGCTCCCAGACGGCCGGGAACAATAGATGTCCTTCCCCCTAGTAGAGGAAGGTCTTCCTTTAACCCCTAAAGGGTCTTCTCGATCGTTCCCCCGGTGGAACGAACGATTGCGCACACTGGCGGTGACAAACCGTAAAGATGGTGATGTCCACAATGACGACGATGATGACGATGATAATGATGGCCAATGAGGTTGGCGACGCCGTGATGATGGAGATGGTAGACAACAGCAATGGGTGCGGCAACAGTTGGTGAATTCGGCTGCACAATGATAGGGAGAGCGGGCGTCGGCGAATGAAAGAGCAATGTCGCGGCGAAAGCGTGGTTGTCGTATGCCAATTATCCCTATGCTAGCTGTTCTGACACCTCTAGCTTCAAGTCTAGAAATGCTAGAGGATCGATAGGCCAAGCTCTCACAGTTGGTATTCATACAATCGAAATCAAATCAGCTCTTGCCCTTTTGCTCCAGACATGATTTCTGGTCTCGTTGAGCTCATCTCAGAAGACCTGCGTTATCTTCGAACAGATGTGCCACTCCAGCCAATAATCCCGACGAGCACATGCGCGCGGGGGGAAAGTAGATGGGGGGAGGGGCATAGGAGGAGGGCGAGGGAGGTCACGTGCACGTGCACGAGGAGGGATCTCGGATCGAGTGCTGGTTGGAGGATCGCCAAGTGGAGAGGGATCGGGTGGAGTAGTGGGGAAGGGGGAAAGCCATATCGAGAATGGGGAGAACCGGGAGGGGGGAGGAGAGGTGAAGGTGGAAAACGAGGAAGGGGGCGGGGGGAAGGGGGGGAATGCAATCGGTGTGGGGGGAAAACTGGGCCGAAGAAACGGGCGCAGGTGGGAATGAGCGTCGGGGGAGCTGAAGTGGAGGGTTGGGGGAGGGAGAGTGTGTGGAGAGCCGGGGTATTTTGGGAGGTTAGAGGGGCTGGGCGTCGAGAGGAGAGTGGGGTTGGGCGCTAGGGGAAATCGGAATCGGGGAGACGGGATCGAGATTAGGGAGGGGGGGACGCGGGGCACAATTGGGGAGGCTCGGATCGAGCTAAGGAGCGGGGCCGATAGTGGGCGGTCAAAGGGGGAGCAGCGGGAGAAAATTTGGGCAGGGGGGGAGGTTGGGGGCAATCTGGCTCGGGCGGAGGAGAAAGAGGTGAGCGGGAGGAAGTTGGGCGGGCGGTGGAGGCGGGAGTAGAATCGGGAGGGGGAGTGTGATCGTGGTGGGAGAAGATTGGGGTCGGGGCGGACGGGGAAGGAGTATCGCTTGGGGGGGAAAGAATGGAAACGGGCAGGAAGAGGGGGGAAACAGGATTAGAAGAGTGATCGGGGGAAGGGGGGAGAAGGGTGGGAGAGTGCACATGCACGTGCACGCGTTCGGGAAGGTAGGATCGGTCGGGATCAGAGCGACGGGGTGTGCGGATCGGAAGGCAGCGGGGAGGGGGGGAATCACGTGCACGAGCGCGCGGCAGGGCAAGCGATAGGAGGGGGGGGAGAAAGAGAAGGTCGAGGGGTGGGGGGGAAGATCAGGGTCGGGGCTAGGGGAGGCGGGGCGGTCGCTCGCACATGCATGCAAGGGGGATCGGGGTCAGGCGGGCTTGGAATCGGGAGTGGGGAAAGCCGGGATCGGGATCGGCGGAGGTGAAGGAGGTGGGTGGGGAACGTGGCTAAGTGGGGAAGGAAGCAAGATGGGTAGCGGGGGGAAGGAAGCAGAGCGCCGAGGGATAATCGGGGGGAAAGTTAGGGGGGGGATATCAGAGTTGCAAGAGGGGAAACACGATCGGGAAGGGGGGAACGGGATGGGCAGCAGTCGGGGAGATGGGAGATGGCAGCGGAACGGGGGGGGAAAGAGGGATTCGGATTGGAGTTGGTGGGGGGGGTGAGTCGGGGTAAGATCTGGGAAGTCGGGATTGGAGGGGAAAGAGGAGAACAGGGGGGGAAAGGATGTGCTGACATGGCGGGAAGTCGACAGTCCACGTGTCAATGATCCTTGATAAGGTTCAATGGACTTCTCACAACACTGTCAGCTTCAAACCTCCAATGTCATCACAGTCCAGACAAGTTTTATTGCAAGCAGCACCAACAGGTTGGCGTCGACAGCCAGTAGGAGAGCCACAGTAGCTGGGGCAGCGCCGTCTTGGCGATCGTCGAGGAGAACGGCACCAGCTTGGAAGAAGAACGTACCTGGTCGTGTTGACGGACCAGGTGCGGCTGCAGGAACAAACTCGGAGATGGCTATCCGCGATGGTAGGATAGCAAGAGGGGGAGGGAGCGAGGGAACATAGGTTCAAAACTCCGCTCTGATACCAATGTGACAGACGTGCGGAGAGAGAGAGAGAGAGAGAGAGAGAGAGAGAGAGAGAGAGAGAGAGAGAGAGAGAGAGAGAGAGAGAGAGAGAGAGAGAGGATGGAAGAAGCACCAGGTGACTGAAGGTCCAGTCCGGATGAATGAACACCGAACAATCCGAAGAATGGAATGAACCAACCTCCCGACCTGGGCCTAGGCCGAAGTGATATACCGGCCTAGGTCTAGGTAGAGGAACAACCTGGTACCAGACTAGGGTCAAGCCGACGGCCTGAAACTGGTCCGGCCTCACTGCCTGCCGTAGGGGTACCGCTACACACCTACTGCAAATTTCACTGTGCCAAAAACAAAGAAAAATAAATAGTTGTGGCTTTCAGGACCAGAAGACACAGCAACTTCCTTTTCGCTCGACACACATCAATCTAAACTTCTCTCTCTCTCTCTCTCTCTCTCTCTCTCTCTCTCTCTCTCTCTCTC